CATGTGATTAATTGATTGTATTTATTGACACCCGGTGTGTCTTGTTTTTACTACTTTGCCCTGACAAAGACCATCTCGCTGGTCGAAACGCGTTGGTGTCCCGTCATCTAATAAAGAACTTTTAATATATTCAGTCGGATGTGTGCCTCAGATTTGTACCTTTACCCATTTTTTTTTTTTTTTTTAAACATTTTTTCTGTAAGGGTAATTTTCTGTTCTAAGACAACTTCAGGTCTGTTTGTGATGAGGAAACAACATTAGAACACACAATAGATTTAAAAAAATACAGTACAGTGCAGGTCCTCTGAGGTACTTTTTGCGAACATAAAGTTATGGACAGCGGTTGCATGCAATTAAAAATTATGTTTAGGTTTAAACTTTTGTAACGTAACCCCTTACACATATTTTTCTCGGAACATGATTACTTTGGATTCACTTTTTCATGTTGACATGAAATTTGAACAACCACATCCTGAAATATTGCATGTTTTTCTTCAAATTGGTCTGAGCCCTTATCCATGAAAATGTAAAGTAGAAATAATGTACGAGATTTAATTGATCTAGAGTTTTGTCTGTTAAAAGAATACAAAAACAGTCTTTAGTTTTCTTACAGATCTGTATTGTCTTAAAACAGAATCAAACACACAGAGAGACACACCAAGTACAGAACACACAGTTTGGAGTCCTGGACAGTGTGAAGATTTATTCCAGTGTTAGTTCTGGTTTTAGCCTGTGGTTTAGTCACAGAATAACACTGGATCACATTCTGATGATCTAGTCCTGGTTAGTCTGGTTTAAATCCTGGTTTAGTCCAATTGGTTACTACAATAATGGACCAGAACAGAATCACAAGAACATTAGAAGTTGTATCTGCAGAAACAAAAGTCACTGGTTTAGTGCTGGCTTTTCTTCCTTAAACGCAGTAACAGGAGGCATCTGTCTCCTAGTGCCACAGTTCACCCTGTAGAAACACAATGAACTGTTTCAATAGGAAGTTCAGTTTTGAAAAAATGTAAAATAATGTTTGTTGGTTTGTGTAGTTTGTTCATGTGTTTGTGTGTGTTTGTGTGTGTTCAAACATTTGTGTTTTTGTGAAACATGTGTAACATTCATGAACTTCCCCCCAGTCCAGCAGAACCTGGACGTCACTTGTGTAGATGACTCTGAACAAACACATTCAAATCTTTGTACAACTTCACACTTTGTAGAGGACAGTCAAAGACAATTTGTTTCAAGGAGTTTATATTAACTTAATTTCAAATTATATACAACACAAACATGTTTTAACAATGACGACATTTCCAAGAAGCACAAATAAAATTTTAAAAGTTCACTGCAGATCTGCTTCCACTGTGTGACTGACACCACCAACTTTAACATGACGTCTGCTCCTGGATCTGTCCTGTGTTCACTGTTACGCTTGAATTTTCCCTTCAAAGGTTTTGAGTGAGAATTACCGAGGGAATAACCAAATTATAATAAATGGGATGTAGCACAAAACCTGATTAAAACATGCAGGTTTAACATCGACCACAATCAAGTAACCTTTGTAAATTCCACATGCTTGACAAAGTAACTGTAATCCAATTACCACTCATTGAAACAGTAACTGTAACTGAATACAGTTACTCATCATTTGTACTCTGATTACGTAACGGCGGTACATGTAATCTGTTACTCCCCAACACTGATTATATTATATTATTATCACTCTCTGTCCACTGTGAATCGTTCTTTGTGAGCTCAATAATAATAACGTTTCTGTTCCACATGGTAACTGTCTCTCTGCTGCTGCTTCTTGTGAGTCAGTGGAGTAAATAAATGCTTGTGTGCGTGGATAAAATGGTCATTGTGAAACAGTGGGACGCCTCAGGCCGAGAGCAGCTCAGACACACTCCACTGACTCTGCACGACCCGGAGCCACACACAGACCTGACTCAACAACTGTGGAGAGAAAAACATACAGTATATACATAGAAATATCAGCGCCGCGTGATGACGTCCTCGGCTGTGGCTCGGTTCGGTGCAGGTGTGAGTGCAGAACATAGAACCCACAGCCGTTGTGCTTGAGCGCGGCACAGTTCTAAAGTCCTTGTGTGAGTCGCCTTTAGCGCAGCAACGTCGGGACAGACAAACACAAACTAACTCAGGGGTGTCAAACTCAACCAACTTTGATCTCAAAAGGGCTGGATCAGAAAACTCACGGCATATAAACCCCAAAAATATCAATAAGTTCAAATATTTGTGCAGAGAAACACAAATCTACTACAGAAATCTTTTGTAATTGATGAACTCTTTCTTTTACAAAATATTATAATATTATGAACAACTTGAAACTTTAAGAAAAATGTAATTTCAACACAATGTTTTAACATGAACTTGTATGAAAATAGGAATGAGTCAGTTTTTCTTGTAAAATCCTGCACTCGGCTCCACTTTTCTCATGTTGGACATTTTTCTGATGAGGGTGTCACGGTCAACAGTCAAAACGATCGTCCTTTAAGAGCGTTTGGAAAGAGACAAGTCTTCATTTGTGCTGCTCTGGTGGGAGGGGCCACGTACAGAGACGCTGGAGACGCTGCTGTGATAAACACCACAGAAAATTAACAAGATTTTAATAGAAAATATCATTAAAATATTTTAGTAGAAAATCAGCCGAGGGCCAGATTAAAGGTCTTGGAGGGCCGGATCTGGACCCCGGGCCGTATGTTTGACACCCCTGGTCTAACTGGAGATGACTGGATGTGCATCTGTCATGAGAACTAGCTCAGGTCACAGTCCCTCAGGTCACAGTGGATTATTTCACCCACAGAGGGAACTTCAATGGCTTTAACTGTTCTGAAGAAGAAGAGACACTTCGCTCACACTGTCAGAGCTCAACATGAAAGTGCATGGAACATTAAACACCAAAAACCAAAAAGCTTTTACACAAAACCTATCCACATTTCTGTTGATGAGAGGATTAAAATGATGATTCAAGTGACAAAAATGTGACTAATTTGAGATTTAATCACATAACTATGACATTCATGAAATGAATCGCGTTTAAATATTTGAATCGACTCACGGCACGAAACAAAACACAACTGCAGGTGTTTTTGACAAGAGGCCAACATGACGGAAGTAAGTAAGTCTTTATTTATATCGAGCTTTTCACAGACATTTTTGTTACAAAGACACTTTATTATTCAGCATTATTCATTCACTCCAGACCCAGTGATGGTCATTTATTATTGTAGCCACTGCTGCCCTGGGGCAGACTGACAGAAGCACAGCTGCCAGTCGGCGCCATCCGTCCCTCTGACCACCACCAACACTCACACACACTCTGCTTTCATACAAGGCAATGTGGGTGAAGTGTCTTGGCTAAGGACAGTGTTGGGAGTGTTACTTTTAAAATGTAATCCCCTACAGATTACAGATTACACACACCAAAATGTAGTTTGTAACGGAATCCATTAAATTACTTAAAGTGAGTAATGTAATCTGAATACTTTTACTTGATTACTTGATTTGCTGTAGAGAAGCAAAGACGAGGAAATCTTCACATAAGAAGTTTTATCTGCTAAAAGAAAATAAAAAGCCCAGACTTTACTTAACCAAATTCAAAATATTATTGATAGAAGACGAGGAAACACGTCCACGCAGCTTTAGTCCTGGTTTAGTCCTGGTTTATTCCAGGTTTAGTCCTGGTTTAGTCCTGGTTTAGTCCTGGTTTATTCCTGGTTTTAGACCTGGTTTAGTCCTGGTTTTAGACCTGGTTTAGTCCCGGTTTAGTCCTGGTTTTAGACCTGGTTTTAGACCTGGTTTAGTCCTGGTTTTAGACCTGGTTTAGTCCTGTTTTAGTCCTGGTTTTAGACCTGGTTTTAGACCTGGTTTAGTCCTGGTTTTAGACCTGGTTTAGTCCTGTTTTAGTCCTGGTTTTAGACCTGGTTTTTCCTGGTTTAGTCCTGGTTTTAGACCTGGTTTAGTCCTGGTTTTAGACCTGGTTTAGTCCTGGTTTAGTCCTGGTTTATTCCTGGTTTAGTCCTGGTTTAGTCCTGGTTTTAGACCTGGTTTAGTCCTGGTTTTAGACCTGGTTTAGTCCTGGTTTTAGACATGGTTTAGTCCTGGTTTAGTCCTGGTTTATTCCTGGTTTTAGACCTGGTTTAGTGTCCGGCAATGAGTGGAATTACAGAGAGAGAGAGAAAAAAAAAGGGATAAGGGATTTAGCCCAAAATGTGAAATCAGGAAAATACCGCCGTGTAATCCATTTACTTCAACAAAGTAACTGTAATCCAATTACCACTCACTGAAACAGTAACTGTAACTGAATACAGTTACTCATAATTTGTACTCTGATTACATAACTCCAGTACATGTAATCTGTTACTCCCAACACTGACCGTCAGCTCCTCCACCCACCACCAACACTCACACACACCACTTTCATACTAGGCAGTATGGGTGAAGTGTCTTGCCTAAGGACACAACAACAGTTATTCCCACAGTCTCCCATCCAAGTCCTGACCAGGCCCGGTCCTGCTGAAATTCTGAGATCTGACAGGATCAGGCTTTGACAAGTCGCTATGGCCACGGTTTGACCAGCCAAACTGACATGACCTCTTGTGACTAAAAGAACACAGAAGGTCATTTCGTGTTGTATGGAGCCTTTAAATCAATTATAAATGAGTCTGTATCAAATAGCATATGTCTGTTTTCATGACTCGCGTTACTTTCACTTGTATCTCTACACGAGTCGTGTCTGTGGCCTCGGTCTGACTCGAGTTTAAGCACCAGTCTTGAGTGTGAGTCCGGCCTGTCCGCCTCTACAGAAGATGAACGGGTCAGAGCAGCTCCCAGTGTCAAAAAGTCAACGCAAGTGAAAGAAGTTTACTCCACACACGCAGCACAGCCTTCGGTACGTAGCCCCGCCCCCTCGGAGCAGGTGCCCGTGCCCCCCCCCCTCCTCTCCCTCTCTCTTCTCCCTCTCCTCCATCCGCGCTCCCCCCTCTGCTCCGCTCCGAGGAAGTAACCCTCAGATTAACTCGGGGGATTAACATTTTCTGGAGAAAGTCCCGTAGGTCCGGGCGCGCTCCCTCCGGTGCCAGAGCGGACCCCCGGCGCGGCGCTCGGTGGAAGTGGAAGCTCCATGCGCCCGTTTCCGCGTTGCACCTCCTGGCGTTCCCCGCGGAGGTGGCGGAGGAGCGGACGAACCGGTCGAGCTGGTAGTCTTTCTCGGGATAGCAGCGGCACGAGCGTCATGTTTCGGTGCACTCCGCCGGCCCAGCGCGCGCTACCGGAGCCAAACCGATCCCGATGACGATGGAGGGCTGCTGCCGCTCCTGCATGCCATGTTGCCGCCGACTTTGGGACTGGATATGGCCCGAATTCCGCTACCCGAACGTGCCAAACCACCACGGCAGCAGCAACGGCGCGACGGTCCTCGAGAACCCGGGAGCCGCGGAGATACGCACCGTCTCCGGGGACCTCCGAGTGCCCGCCCCGGTCCAGATCCCGGTTCCGTCCCCGCAGAAGAAGCCCGCGCAGCTCTACCAGGCGCTGTACGACTTCGAGGCGCGGAGCAACGACGAGCTGTCCGTGCGCGGCGGGGATAAGCTCTCCGTGATCGAGAAACGCGGGGACTACGTGCTCGCCAAGAAGCTGACCGGGAGCCTGGAGTCCGGACTCATCCCCGCGAACTACGTGGCTCTGCTGCAGGACGAGTTCGCCAAACACAAGTGAGTGGGGGGGAAAAAAAGCCCCGTGAACGCACCACACGGACCGGGCTTTTACGTACAATAGCGATTTGGCATTGGTGCAGTGTGCAGGCAGGTCGAGTTGTAGAGAAAGAAAGAGGCACGTGGTGGAATCATGTGGGGCATTTGAGGCTCAAACTGGAAAAACTAAACATCACTGACAGTAAATACGTAACGTTTTTAGTTGAGAAGGACTTGAGGCGTGGACTTGCAACTCTTGAGTCACCGTGTTGTCAGATTTGACCTGATAAAAAGGGTTGGGACTCGACTTGGACTTGAATAATGTGACCAGACTGTCCTTGTTTACCCGGGACAGTCCCAGTTTTGAGCCCCGTGTTTCCCGTCCCAGCAGATTTATCCAAAAATGTTCGAGGTGTCGTTATTTTTGACTAATTTGATCCAAACCAGGACTGAAAATGACTAACCAGATCTAAACCAGGTCTAAACCAGGTCTAAACGAAGACTAAAGCCAGACTACATCAGGTCTAAACCAGGACTACATCAGGTCTAAACCAGGACTACATCAGGTCTAAACCAGGACTACATCAGGTCTAAACCAGGTCTACATCAGGTCTAAACCAGGTCTACATCAGGTCTAAACCCGGACTACATCAGGTCTAAACCCGGACTACATCAGGTCTAAACCAGGACTACATCAGGTCTAAACCCGGACTACATCAGGTCTAAACCAGGACCTACATCAGGTCTAAACCCAGGACCACATCATCAGGTCTAAACCAGGGTCTACATCAGGTCTAAACCAGGACTACATCAGGTCAGGTCTAAACCAGGACTACATCAGGTCTAAACCAGGACTACATCAGGTCTAAACCCGGACTACATCAGGTCTAAACCCGGACTACATCAGGGTCTAAACCCGGACTACATCAGGTCTAAACCCGGACTACATCAGGTCTAAACCCGGACTACATCAGGTCTAAACCCGGACTACATCAGGTCTAAACCAGGTCTACATCAGGTCTAAACCAGGACTACATCAGGTCTAAACCAGGACTACATCAGGTCTAAACCAGGACTACATCAGGTCTAAACCAGGACTACATCATCAAAAACAAGATTAAACCAGGACTAAACCAGGATTATCAGATTTTTTGACTAATCTGATCCCGGCAACAGTAAGAGGAGCGTAAATTGTCATTTGTTTCGCCAAAATACAGAAATTGGTGTTTGGTAACGACGATAAAGCAAAAAAATGCAGTGACCGAATTCTCTCAGACACGAGAAAGAACAACGTTTGTATTGTATCGTGGTCTACGTATCAAGGTATCGGTAACTTCTTAATGATATTCAGATGCAATACCAAACATCCCAACCCGTATCGATACGGTATCGATACCGTGGGCTCCTTTACCGAGTATTTGTTGGTGTATTTTACTAAATAATTTTGTTACAGCTACAGTTTTGTTGTTTGTTCAGAGAAAGGAAACTCGTTTATGCGACACATTTGACATTTTCACTCTTCTGATGATTAAAATGTTTGTGTTTCATCTGAACTTTGCACAAGAAGTTTTTTTTTTTTAGTGAACCGCATTGAATCGATTTGAAATATATCGTATTGAATCGAAAGCTCACTGTATAGAGACATGTATCGTATCGTATCGTGGCCTATGTGTCGAGGTATTGGCAACTTCTTCATGATATCCAGCTTTAAAGGTTGTATAGAGGATTTTTTAAGGGAAGTGAAATACAGCAATGATCCTTTTTCAAATGTTGTGCATGTGTGACACCCTCCCTCCTCAGTAGAAACATCTCCTCCTGCCTCCTTACTCGAGAAATCATGCTTGTTTACAGCCAGTGCGCGTTCAGAATTACTGTTGAAGTGACCTGCCTAGAAGTAATTTATAGAACGACGCGTCAGTTTTTAGAGCCTTCGTGTGCTTCATTCGCGCAATCGCTGGAAGGAATCTCCAAGAATCCGTGTGTCATTCGTTCATTCGTTTTTCAATATAAAACCAAAAATAAGAAAACGAAAAAACAACAGTTTTCTTCGTTATTTGTCTCCAAAACCAAAATTTAAAAACGGATAACGATTCGTTTTTTCAGTTTTCGATTTTGTGTTTAAATGAAGAATGGAAAAAACGGATAACGGCCGTTTCCCGTTTACGTGACTTCCGTGACTGCGATGCCGGACTTTTGCACCGCATACGGACTGAATCAGGACGGATCCAGGTCCAAGTCCAGAGCGGGACTGAGACCGGGACCAGACCGAGACCAGAGCGGGACTGAGACCGGGACCAGACCGGGACCAGGGCGGACTCCGAGCTTTGACTCCGAGCCTTCACGGGGTCCGAGCCTCAGCTTCGAGCTCCGGTCCTGCTGTGGGCTCTGAGCCTCCAGTCTGGTCCTGGTCTTGTCTTGGTCTCGGTCTCAGGCCCGCTCTGGTCCCGGTCTGGTCCCAGTCTCACCGCATACGGACTGAATCAGGACGGATCCAGGTCCGAGACCAGACCGAGACCAGAGCAGGACTGAGACCAGGACAGAGCTGCTCTGGTCCTCCGCGCTCAAGAACCGCGGCTGGTTCCGAGGTGGTGCAAAGCCTCTGACTGACACTTTCACACCAATGAAAATGAATCGAACTAAGAGCTTTTGGTTCAAATGGACCAGGTCCGGGACCAGACCGGGACCAGAGCGCCGGGGCCGGAGCTCGGGTCTCGGGTCTCGGTCTGGTCTCGGACCTGGATCAGTCCCGGTTCAGTCCGTATGCGGTGCAAAAGTTCGGCATCACTGATTTTATGTATTTTCACTGAAGTCACGTAAACGGGAAACGGCCGTTATCCGTTTTTTCCATTCTTCATTTAAACACAAAATCGAAAACTTAAAAAACGAATCTTTGTCCGTTTTTTCATTTTGGTTTTGGAGACAAATAACGAAGAAAACTGTAGTTTTTTCATTTTCTTATTTTTGGTTTTATATTGAAAAACGAATGAACGAATAATACATGGATTTCCAAGAATCACCTCAGTTTGGCTTTGCTCCTTCGTCTTTCAGCGACCTCAAAAACCGACTTTCTTTTGCGGCGAACTGGTCGTGGATTCTCGTCGGCCGTCACAACAAACGTGCGAAATGCGAGGAAGCGACAGTTTAAAAAAGCTTCTAAGAACCGCTGCATAAACCACGTAATCCCCGCGTGCCGAACATCCAATAGAAAATGAGGCAGCCTTGTTTTCTATTGGCTGATGTTTATCTGGCCTCAACACGTCCACAGTTGATAGATTCCCACTCTTTTTTTTTTTTTGGTCATCATAATTACAAAGCTGCTGCGTCTCTGTAATGGTATTTTAAACTTTCATTGACAATTTGAAACTAAAAAAAAATCCTCCATACAACCTTTAATATCAAACATCCCAACCAGTTCCCCAGTGTCCCAGTTTTGAATTTTTAAAAATCTGGTCACTCTAGACTTGAATCTCCGAGATTTGACTTGGATTTGACTTGAGACTTGGCTTCTCCTCAAGAAAAAGTCTTTTAGTTACATTGATGGAAAACTTTCAGGTCTTGGTCCCAGTTTGTTTTTAAAAGGCCTTTATCACACAAATTTGATTTATTTTATTTTATTTTATTTTTTTTAGCTTTAAGCCACGTTATAAAACTTCCTCATCATAAACAAGACCTGGAGTTGTGTTTTGATTCATTCACACATGTTTGGGTTTAAAGCTGTAAATGCTCTGCTCCACCTTGTGATGTCATGAATCGGTAGCAGAGGTGGGACTTGCAAATCGTGACTTGGACTCGAGTCAGACTTGAGTCACTATTTTTAGGACTGGAGACTTGACTTGAGAAAATGGACTAAGACCTGTGACTTGGGAAGCACTTTTAAATCTGAATTCTTTCTGTTCTGTCTGTAATGATTCACACTAAGATCTTGGCAAGACATTTAAAAAGGAAAGAATTGCATTTGTACAACTCTTATATACTCTATAAATACTCCTATTTATTTATTTATTTATTTTATTGCTCATGCTGTTATTTTGTTGGCATCGACTTAAAGAGAACAACAACAAAAAAAAAAATCTGAAAATGAACATAAATACATATTTCTATGATTATTTGGCTCGTCTTTGCTGCATGAACAAAAGGAACAGGAAGAAGATACAGTAAATCTTATAAACCTTAAAAATTTATACATTTTTGATCTTTCACAAATCAAAAATTAAACATTTCTTTAATCATTCCTCACCCCAAACACTAAACCAAGTCACCAATCAATGAGTCATATGCACGTTACAGGATCTTAAACATTTTCCTTAGTCACATCGTCTCTCGTTATTTGATCCTTGTACATTTTCTTGAATTTAGAAACACGAGTGCGACTTTTTAAATCCTGATTTAACAAGTTCCACATCTTGGCTCTGTACACAGAGACACAGAGACGTGAAGAAGTCAGAGTATATTTATAAAGTACAATTTGGTTTAAAATTCATATAAATTGTAAAAAATCCTGTACTTTGGTTTAAAGACCTGAATGACTTGAAGCTCAAAGCAGACGACTTGGACTTGGACTTAAGGGCCAGTGTCTCGAGACTCGACTTGGACTTGCCTGTATTTGACTTGAGACTTGACTCGGACTTGAGGGCAAAGACTTGAGACTTGCAAAACGACGACTTGGTCCCACCTCTAATTGGTCGTTTAGTCAAGTTAAGTTGCACTTTTTACCTTTCGTCCAGTAGAGTTTGACAATTCCAGGGCTGAAATCCTCCAAATGATTCCAGTGAAGTGGAAAAAACCAGCAGTGGAGCACTTCCTGTATTGCTGCATGACATCACCAGGTGGAGCAGAGTGTTTGAGTGTGAGACGGTATGTTCCAGGTATGTTTGTGATGAGGAAATGACATCATAACACAGAACAGATAATAGAGTTTAATGGAGCGTTTAAGATTATTCCTGCTTTCTGTTTTGGTTAATCCTCCTCGAGTCGTGGCCTAGTCATCGTAAGTCAGTCCTTCAGGTTTGTGCACTTGATTT